AAGTTGATGAGAGGCAAACAATTATTTTCCCAGACTGATTGCCTGCACCTCAGTGAGGACAGTCCAAATCACAGACATCTTCAAGGTCCCCACATAACACATCCTCCTTTGCCACCCACTAGGATGCCAAGGCTTCTGCAATAGAGCTGCTTCACCGCCAGGGACAGGGGTCCAACCAGTTCATTTCTCTGAACTGTTGAGCGCCTCTGAAGAACAGCTTTCGCTTTCAGGACATCCCAAAGTGGTACCACTCTCAAACTTGCTGAGTGTTGCCCTTCTCATCAGTGAAGCTGTTAATAAAAGTGATGAGCAGTGCGGATACTGGTACTGATGACTAAGGAACTGGTTGCCAGCTGGGTTTCACCTCACTGACAATAATACTACCTTAGGCTCAGATGTCTGATCACTGTCCAAGTTTTTTTTGCTCACTTTACTGTCCACTTATTTAGTTTATATCTAGCCATTCTGAACATAAGGATACCATGGGACACTTTATCAAAAGCTTCACTAAAGCTAAGTACTGTCCCCTGTTTCACCTTTCTTCACATGTGCAGTCATCTCATTGTCAAGACAATTCAATTAATTAGGCATGATCTGCTCTGAGTAAATTCATGTTGACATTTGTCAATTACTTTCCTATCCCTCATATGGCTGGAAACCAATTGCAAATGGATTTGCTTTCTGAAATTTCCAGAAAGCAAGCTGTGGCTCACCAATCCCTGTAACTCCTCATGCTCTTTTTCTTGCTCTTCTTGAAGGTGAGTGCAGTATTTACTTTCTTTCAGGTTTAAGGCACCTCCCCCGGTTGAAGGGGAAGATAGGGGAAGATTAGATAAAGAACAGATTTGAAGATAAGAGAGAAAGCAGCCTCCCGTCACTATCAGCCAAATGCTGCGGCATGCTCTGATGCACTCTGTCTGGTCCTTATGATGATGTCCATATGCTGATTGGCTCAATCCAGCAGGGTCAGCTAGAGAAAGCTGTTGAGGAATATGTCCTGCTGAGTTTTAAATATCTACAAGGATGGAGACAACCTCTCTGGGCAACATGCTACAGAGCTCAGCAACCCTCACAGTGAAAAAAAAGTATGTTCTTACATCTGGATGAAATACTGTGTGTTTTAAACTCTGCCCACAGCCTCTTGCCCTGTTACTGCGTATTACTGACAAGAGTCTATCTCCACCTTCTTTAGACCCTCCCATCATACATTTTGGTAAGATACAGTGACAAGATCTAACCTAAGCCTTCTCTTTTCCAGGCTACATAGTCTCTATCCCTCAGACTTTACTCATACAAAAGACTCTGCAGTCCTGTAATCACATCCTTATGACCTTTCACAGGACTGATTCCATTAAATCATGTCATTCTTCTCCTGGGGATGCCTGTAGGAAAGTCAGCTGAAGCAGAGGACAAAATTTATTACCTGTTTTCTGTCTCCAGTTCATTCTTCCGTAAGTTTGCATCATCAAGAAGGCTCTGCAACAAGGCAATCTTCTCATTGTCAGAACCTTCTTGGTTCAATTTTAACATCTTGTTCTCATGCTGAAGGCGGATGAGTTTCTCCCTAAATGCAATTAGGGAGAACACAGTTGCGTGAAAAAAAGAATGCCGATATCTATAACAAAGTAAACAGCTTACCACAGGAAGTAAAATAGTAATATGAATATCATCTTTTTAAGGGAGATGCTGCAACAACAATCATATCTTCAAGCCCCAAAATATAAACCAAATTTAAGGAGTTGTAATTGCAGAATGCAGAACACAAGGAAATTACCTCAGTGGCCCCATCAGATTTCACAGTACAGCTCAACAGATTTATAGGAAGAACAGAGAATGCAAAACTTAATACCAAGTGTGAAGAAAGACTGTAATCTGAAAGGTGTAAGCTCAGCTGTCACTGAACTACTGCATAAACCTGAGCAAGCCACTTCAGTGCTTACACAGAATCTGTTTACACAGAATCACAGCATCATTTGGGTTGAAAAGACTCTTCAGCAAGATCCAACATAAGCCCAGCACTGCCAAGTGGACCATAGAACCATGTACCATAAGCATCACATCTACACATCTTTTAAACACCACCAGGTGTTGGGGAGGGTGAAACAGGGAAACCTTATGAATGTGATTGTTTGGCAGAAGATTCTGAAAATATGAAGGCTAAAATCAAAGTACAAATGAAAGCCTGCTTTGAGTCATAGGATAGTGAGTACTGGTTAACCAAAGAACAATAGCCTAGCCAGCTAGAGGAGAATCCCTGTTGATAAAACAACGTCCTTCTGTTGATAGAAAGTCCCGAGGTCAAGAAGCAAGGAAAGAACTTGTAAAGCTTTGTAGAGTCTAAAATGCAACACTCTATGTTAATATAGGGAAGCGCATAGGCTGTATGTAAATTCTGTAGTGGGTGTGTCTCATAGTGATTGGTTATTCATTATTATTCACTAATATTCACTATAGAAAAAGATACATTGGATTGTAACAAGAACTTCGCTCTCTTAGCTTTTCTCTCTTAACCTCTCTCATATCTCTTGGCTCTTCTCTCTTACCCCTTTACCCCTCTCTCAGCTCCCCTCTCCCACTCTCTTACCTCTTCCACTCTTTCCCTCTCTTACTCTTACCCTCTTGGTTTTTCCCCTCTTATTCCTCTCTTGTCTTCCCCCTCTCATAAGCCTCCCTGTTTTTTCCCTCTTTCCCTCTGTTGTTCTTATGCCCTCCCTCCCCTTTTCCAACCTCTCCTCCCTGCTCTCCACACTCTCTCTCCCCTTCCCCTGACCACATGGACGCCGAGGCTGGTGGAAGACACAGGTCTCCCCTCTCTTTACCCTTATAATAAATTGCTTATACTTGAACAGCTCGATCCGAGAGAAGTCTCTCACTGCAAGCTAGTTTTTACACAGCAATAACCAGGGACAACAACTTCATCACTTCCCTGGGTGCAATGCTTGATAACCCCTCCCAGTGAAGAAATGGTTCCTAATATCCAATCTAAACCTCCCCAGCACAGCTTCAGGAAAAACGACCACCCCCCCACCTTGTTACAACTTCCTTTCAGGTAGTTGTAGAGAATGATAAGGTCACTCCTGAGTCTTTCTCCAGGATAAACAGCCTCTTGCTCCTCATAGTACTTAACTCTCTAGGCCCTTCTCCAGCTCTATTGGCCTGCTCCAGACACACTCCAGCCCCTCAGTGTCTCCCCTAGTGAGGGGGTGCAACACTGGACACAGAACTTGAGGTGTGGCCTCACCAGTGCCAAGTACAGGGGGACAATCCCTGCCCTAGTCCTGCTGGCCACTCAAGTGCTGATACAGGTCAGGATGCCATTGACCTTCTTGGCCATCTGGGCATTCAATGGTTTATGTTTAGCTGCTGTCAACAAACACCACCAAACCCACACCAGAACAACAGGTGCTATCCACAGGGACCTGCCAAAACTGAACTGGTGGGGCCATGAAAACCTCTTAAGATTCAACACGGCCAACTGCAAGGTCCTGCACTTGGCCTATGGCAACCCCTGGTATCAGTCCAGGCTGAGGGATGAAGAGACAGAGAGCAGCCCTGTGAGAAGGCACTGGGGGTGTTGGTGGGTGAGAGGCTGTACATGACCCAGCCATGGGCACTCCCAGCCCAGAGAGCCAAACGTGTCCTGGGCTGCATCCAAAGCAGTGTGGGCAGCAGGGGAGGGAGGGGATTCTGTCCCTCTGCTCTGCTCTGGTGAGATCCCACCTGGAACCCTGCATCCAGCTCTGGGGTCCCAGCACAGGAAGTATGTCAACTAATGGAAGTGTGTCCAGAGGAACCCGGTAAGGTGATCACAGGGATGGACCACCTATGAAAACAGGCTGACAGAGCTGGAGTTATAGATCAGACTCCAGGATACCTTAGAGCAGCCTTACAGTACCTGAAAGACTGAACAAGGGAGCTGGAAAAGGATTTTTTACAAGAGCATGGAGAGACAAGACAAAGCAGAGTCGTGTTAAACGGAAAAAGGGTAGTTTAGATTAGATATTAAGCAGAAATTATTTACTTTAAAGGCTTGGAGGCAATGGCAAAGGGAATTCTGGATGCTCCATACCTGGCAGTGTTCTGGGCTAGGTTGGATAGGGATTTGAGCAACCTGGTCTACTGGAAAGTGTCCCCGCCCATGGCAGTGGAAGTGGAACAAGATGATCTTTAAGGTCCCTTCCAATCCAAGTTGTTCTGTGACTCTACAATTACTTCCCACTGTCCATCTTTTCAGTCACTCTTCTACAAACTGTAGCACTGTACAGGTTGTTGTGACCCAAGAGTAGGACCTAGCCCTTGGCCATGTTGAACTTCAAACAATTGTCCTCCGCCCACTGACACAACCTGTTCAGATTCCCCTGCAGAGCCTTCTGACCCTCCAGCAGATCAACACAGTCCTGAGTAACCCAAAATGGTACTGTATTCCACATCTAGCTGTTGTAGTTGATAGCTTGAAATGTATCTTTTCCCATCTTTTAGTTGTGATTTCCACCCCCCACCAGCTTCTCTTTCTCCTAACTGTTTACCTGGCTTACTTAACCAAGTTACCATGGTTACTGAAGTTTCTCTCCTCAGCCCCACGGTCAGAGGCCGGATAGAGTAAAGAGAGGACCCTGCTGGCATTTCCAGATGCTTGAAATTTCTTTAGCCCAGGAGACCCTTCTTTCCAACACAGAAGTTTGTAATTCTGGTTTTCCTGTCCCAGAATGCCTCTGAGCTATGGAATCTGAGAGAGCATGCTTACCTTGCCTTCCCTTTCTTTCCCCCCTGTGTTGCCAGGAAACCAGCCTCCCCCCTCTCTCCCCCTCTGCGGAGAATACTCCTACACCTTTGTGGGCATTTGAAGAAGTTGATGTCTGTTATTTCTTATCTTGGTGTGTGTAACCTTGATTTGTAGAAAGTTTGTAAGATGTACTAACTGAGAAAAATAATTGGTTCTTTCTCTGATGTTCCCTCCCTCCAAGAATCGCTGTTAAAAGAGACCCCCAGACCCCAAACCCAGGGTTCTCCCGTCCTTTGGATTCCCCTTCACAGAAATAAACTGTGGAATGCAAACCAGAGAGAGAGTCCCCCCCTGATTTCTTTACTCGCTCTATAGACTTGGATTCTTGAAGAAAATCAGTGAACCCCACAAACATATGCTGGCTTGAAACCCGAGTGAAGAGAAACCTCATCACACTCAAGAAGATCAAGTCAGGTGACGCCCAGAACGTGGGGCTGGCCTGTCCCTCAATAAAGGGGACAGAAGAACCACGGAAGGTGAGATTCAGACCACCGCTGGGACGACATCTACCCCAGAAGCGTCTCTTCGCTGTTCTAAGTGGAAGACGTGTTGGGGAGAAAAGCAAGAACCCCTGTGCACCGAGGGGCTGCTTTTGAGAGCGAGACAACGGCACGAGCATTCAGAAGACTGAATTCCCCAAAGGGGGGAAGTGGTGAAGAGGGAGTGGGTGAGAGAAGAGTCCCATCCCAGGTGAAACTTCTGGATGCAGAGCAGTTTGGAGCCGTTGGTGAAATAGCTGCGACGGACAGGTGAGATCACAGAGATGGGTGCAAGACTGTCTGTAGCACAAAGGGGGATTTTTAATCAAGTGATTGGCATTTTGCAAATTGGACAGAAACCGTTTTCTAAGAAAAAAGTGAAAAAATTAGTGAATTGGGTTTTTTTAAATTTTCCTCAAGTGTCTTCTGCAGATGTAACTTCTGTTTCCTTTTGGAACAGTGTGGGGACAAAACTGACTGAATCTGTGAATGCTGGAGATAGTTCAGCAGCGAATGTAATCCCTTTGTTTGTTTTGATTAGACTAACCCTTATTGAAAAAGAAGAAAAAAGATTACTCAATCCTAACCCTGATAACCCTGTTTCTTTTCCTCAACCCTGTCACCCTAAGCTGGGGGCGTCCTCTCAGCACCCCTGTTCCAGGAGCTCTGGCCAAGCTGTTGGAAACCTTTCCCTAAAACCCATCCCAGCTCCCTCTCCTACCCCTCTTTACCCTCAATATCCCTCTCCTCTTGTTCCTGGTGGTCTTTTGGGTACACAAAATGGAGGAGACCACATGGTGAGCCTCCCCCCAAGTGTTACACAAAGGGCCCAGGAACTTCAAAATGGTGGC